TCCCACTAGCTATAGAGATTTCATATATATATCATAGCAGAGAGTAATCAATTATAAGGTCAATAACAATAGTCATAACAATTACACGCTTTTGTATTTACGTTGAGTTTTGACACCTTTGGTGTGAACTGTCATGTTGTCAAGCCTGCAGGCGACCTGTGGACAGATGGAGGGACGGGGGGACAGGACACAAAGCATCTGGACAGACAGACCTCCCCTCTAATGATAAACTGTACAGTTTAGTGTGACGTCAGGAAATAAAGGATTAACTACTTCCATTACACAGAGCTACATTTGAGGTGACGTTAATATTTTGTTGTTAGTTAGTACTTTTTATAAATCCAACCTCCCACACTTTCTCTTCTTCTCCCTCTCCCACTTGCTTTCTCTCTCTTCAGACTTTCTCTGTATTTGGTAACACGTTGCATTATTTTACTTATTTGGCTTCAAAAAAAGAATAAAGTATTTGTCCTTTGGGGAAAATAAGTGACAGCAGCGTCTAAAGCAATAAAAAGTAGCAGCGGTAGCAATGTAAATAAATAACATTGTTTCAACGGTAAACATCATAAACACAACACGCTAACTCACTCGCTAAAATCATAGTTGGTAGGTTGGTGTGACACCATGAAAGCTTTTTACAATAACCAGCTAGCCTGTTTCCTCTCTCCTTATTCACACAGTTACTTCCTGTCCTCCACCTCCAGTTTGCCTCTGACTATTCCCAACTTCCAATCCAACTTCCTTAAATCTCCCCGTCTACTTCTCACCACACTCTATCGCCTCCTCTCGTTTAGCTCTCCCTCCTTTTTTCTGACATCTCTCTCTCCTTCTCTCATACTTCACTTTTCCTCTCTCTATCGTCGCCATTTCGCACTTCTCCGTGTCTAGCAGTGATTTGGTTTTCTGAGTGACGGGGGAGTCTGCATATCTAGCAGGTTTCGGCTGTTGCCCGTCAAAAGGACTCTAGTCAGTCAGTCTCTGAAGACCTGCACTCAAAGTGTGTACATCTACACATCTCAGTTTCAAACACATGGACCTGTTCAGGTGAGCTGGACACAGTCAATTTTATCTTTACAATCTTCGGGTTCAGGGGTCTCAAAGTTCAGTTTCCCACTGGCAGGCACGCTTCTCCAAGCTTTCTGCATGAATGCTAACAGCAGCGCTGAACGCCTGCGTGCCATTGGTCTTAGCCTATGACAGCTTGTTTGGGACTACTTGATTAATCAATTAGTCGGTCGAGGACAAAAATATTCTAAGACCATTTAAATAATTAAAGAAACATTTCTGAAGGTTTTCTGGTTTCAGTATTACCAGAATTCAAGATGAACTGCTTTTATTTGTTTTAAAAGATAACAAGGATATAAGGTTTTGGAAATAACTGTTTGACTGAATTATTAAAGTAAAGTAAGTAAAGATTAGTGATTCAGAGATACTGAATAAATCCTTATTTGCAATCCTGGGAAAACAATCTTTCAAACTAAAAGACTATGAAGGCAAAAAGCAGCTATGAGACCAAACAGCTATATTTAAGAATCAACTCAACATGTGGGCAGCTTTACTGGATCTGAGGCTTTGAGACCCCTGCTCTAGGTTCTCAAAACAGCACAAACATGCTTCTAAAGATGTGTCTCTGTGCTTTCTGAGGTCTAAATCTTTTGGCCTCCACCAACAACAACCTACATGCAGCCTTTGGTCTGGTCACCCTGTGGAGCACTACGTCACACTAAACAGCAGAGGCCGACAGAGAGGAAGAGGTAGACAAACTCAGAGTAAGAAAAAGCTCCACAGGTTTTAACATCTTCCTCTTTGTACAAGATAAGCTCCTAACCTCTCTAACTTGTAACAGTTATTCAAACAACCAAGAGTACAACTCCCTCCTTCTTCCACTTTATCTGCTTCTCTCTCCCACACTTCTAGAAAGAATCCCTTTCTCACTCGTTGTTTCTCTTCTTAGCATCCCTCCATCTCTTTTAGTTTAGCTATGTTATTCTAAACACAAAACCAAACCAACTCCTTCTCTACAAAGCTAGAATGCAACACTAATTTTTTTGTAAGTATTTTTCATTGTGTTTTTCCTAATTGCGCAGCTTCTAAATACACCATACGGGTAACCTAAACATCACTCATATCAAAATGAATGAAAGTTACTATACTTAACATGTTCAAATCAAGCCACCGCTAACAGATGAATGTATTATGGTGCGAGTGTAACAGCTGTAGTGTGAAGGTGAATAAATGGCTAGTAGATATAATCTCACTTTTGAAAACAACCAGTGACTGTGTCTTGATATCCATCCATACACACGCACGCACACACAGATTCAGCCTGAGAATGTGTGATCATAGAAACCTGAAGAATCATAATTGCACGGGACATTTATGTGTCCTCAGAAAGGTTTTTATACAAGAAAGATTCATGTTTGCTAATGTAGCAGATGCTTTGTTCCAGTGTAGTGACTACTCTGTTCCAACGGCTTGGATCGATGCTGAAGACATGTAGGTGAGAAACTAAATGACACGTGGAGGACATGTAGGAACACAGTTTGTATGCGAGTGTGTGGCTATAACACACACTATACTGTGACGTAATGATAGTGTGACGAGACAGTGTGTAAACAAATGAAGCTAACTACAGTGTGCGCATCCTTTTCTCAACCCCCCCCCTTCCCATGTCTGCCTGTCCAGATTCAACACACTGAGAAACAGAACACCTGTGTCGTCCGTCCGTCCATCCCTCCATGGAGGCTCCGTCCCCCCCTCCCCTCTGTGGGCTATTCAGGGTCTCTGGTGGACAAATGGACAGGCTGGGTCTAACGCTAGGCTTAGCTGCTAACGCTGGGCTAGACTAGGGCAGACTGAGCCGGGCTGGGCTAGGCTACCTACTGAAGAGCGAGTGGAGCTGGTGCTGGTGGCTGTAACACTGGCTGCTGCGGGGCGACTCGGTGCGGTCCATCACCGCCTGGAACCAGCCGGCCACGTCCACGTCCACCACCTCGTAACGCCGGATGAAACTATGCTCCTGGATGAGGAACACGAGGAGATACAGAGGGGTGAGGGGGAGGGGGTTTAGTCACATTGAACCATTTTGTCATTTGGGTGAATCTCAGCAAAATGTTTGTTGCTCATTATGACGAGTCTCTTACCAGCAGCGTGTGGTATTTTGGCCTTTTTCTGTGATCCTTTGTGAGGCTGTGGGAAGACACACAAATAAAGTGAAGCTTCAATAAGAGGTTTTAAATACACATGACATATTTGGAAGGAGAGGCAAGTCTCTTTACAGAACCTGCTCAAGGCAGGACTGTTTTGTTGTTGTTTAGATTCAAGATTCAAAGGTTTTGATGTCATAGGCACATAAGCTACAGTGTAGAAACGGCAATGAAGAACGTATGACCCGAGCTCCTCCAACAATGCCACATAGTTATATAATAAAATAAAAACATAAAAGATAGTGCATAAAGTCTGTATACACATAAATAGAATATGATATATACATATATTGTTTATTACAGCGAACAGAGGACAAGATCAAATAATCTAAAAGCACCTTCTCCAGTTCTGGATGTAATTATGTGTTCAGTTGTAAAACCACCACCTGATGACCTGAGAGTTCAAATGAGTTCAAGAGTGGGATCTGTGCTCACCAGTCTTTGACGAAGGACTGGAAGTCGAGGGAGAAGCCCATGCCGAGGGGCAGCAGAGGAGGGTCTTCCTGCAGCACTTTGGTCAGAACCTCAAAGTCTGTCTTACAGTTCTTGTAGGGAAACTGTCCCGTGGCCAGCTCCACCTACAGGACACACAGAGCCGTTAACATCCACAACGAAGCAGCACCACCTCTTGCTTTATATAATTAATTCACAGATATCATTTATAGCCAAACATAATAAAAAGGTAACACAACAAATAATAAGGTACAGAAACTAGTCACGCTTAAATATTTTACAAAAAATGTAAATACATGTCATTTCAATCCAATATGCTGGAGGAAGAAGTACCAGAGCTAGCTCCAATTTTAAAGGCAAGCACTTTTATTTTATTGCAATAAAATGAGAAAAGCTTTACCAGAGAGATGCCAAGGCTCCACACGTCTGCTCGGATGTCATAGTCAGGTTTGGTGGGATCTGGAGGGTCTATTCTCTCAGGCTGCAAGAACACGAGAACAGGTGTTATCACATTTCAGTTTTGTGTTGGACAGGATGTGATCAGCTTAATGTTAGAGATACTTGTTGTGTCTTAAGAGCAGTGTGTGTGAGTTTTGACTCACCGCCATGTAGGCAGCACAGCCGGCGCTGCGAGTCTTGGCTTTGGAGTCGACGAGGCGTCCGCTGATGCCGAAGTCACACAGTTTGATCTGACCTTTATCGTCCAGGAGGATGTTGGAGGGCTTCACGTCCCGGTGGATGACACCGTGTTTGTCTTTCAGGTACAGCAGCGCCTTCACTATCTGGAGAAGAAACGCACAGCACAACACATTAGAACAGAACAGGTGAGCAGCGTTGCACTGAACATCTGCAGTGTTCATACAGAGGTTACAAAATAAATCCAATCACGAGGCATCACGCTAACCCTTACCCTAACTCTAGCTTCAGACCGACAGCCAAACTCATACAAATCAGGGACGTGCACAGGTACGGGCTTATGTTGCCCGGGCAACGGCCCGTTTGGCCTTTTTGGCTGACCTGCCCCTCTGGAGAGAGCGAGAGTTTGTTTTTCTTTTTTCTGTTGTGGCCGAATCAGCATGATGAGCCCACAATTAGTATTGTAGCGTCTCGCTGCGGGAAACACACTTTGTCAGCGCTGTCATCTGCCGGTGCGTTAAGACCACCTCAGTGTCGGATTTTGGAAACTTGATTTTGAGTTGTCTCATGGCAGTTAGGATATAAGGGACAACCCAGGGGGCTTTACTTCCTCTTGATACCGTCAGTTATTTACAAAAGAACACCTAAATATAGCCTACTTGTTGTTATTGTGCTTCTGTCTTTCTGTGTCTTTTCATCTGTAAACTCCCTCAACGGGGCCGCTCGCTCTCTTTTCTTGATCGCCCTCTCACGGGTGAACAGTTCACTGACCTGCTTCATTGTAGGATTTCTGCCATGTCTCTACCACTTTAGTTTGACCATCTCTGTTACTAAGTTATGGAATACTAAATAAATAAGTAATTAGATATCTTACCGTTACTGGCTGCGCTCATAAAGAATGATAAGAATAAGAATAATGCGTATTGAACTGGTTTCATTAATTAGTGAGTTTATTTAAGGTAATTAGTTAGAGGCCCTATTTTATGTCTGGACTGCACAGCAGTTACAATGGTCTGGTCAAACTACATTAGAACATAATTTTCCCCATTTTGTCTTTAATAGTTTATAACATTAGATATTTAAATCAAAAAATGTCCCTGGTTTGCATTTTTAAAAACAAGTTACCGAATGCAATAGTCGCCTTAGCTTATTTTGTTATGAGATGTGAATTAATGTTCAATTTAGTTGATGTAATAATCGTTTGGTTTCTTTTACATTAAAAACAAGTTACAATTTTTAAAAAGGTCTTATGTTTTTTATCGGAGGGAGGTCCTTTTTCCAGTTTAGAGCAATAGCCCCTCCAAATGTCTGTGCACGTCCCTGATAAAAATCATCTAACTAACTCCAAAGTACACAACGAGCAAGTGTCTTCAATAAGTAGCAAGTGCTATGTGAACAAACCCCTGCAACATCCATTAATAACATTAAATATTAAGAACACCAAACCTGCTCAAAATATAAGACAATGTTATGTCTTGAGGAGACTGTGAAGTCTTTTGGACAAAATGTCCTCTCCATTAAAGGCAGCTCATTGTGGAATAGCGTCCCAACTGAGATACGGGATTGTCCCACTCTCAATAGTTTTAAAGGTCAACTTAAAGAATGGTTGAGCAACAAACAGACGTGCAATCAGCGCTAAATGCACTTTAACACAGGCGTATCTCCTCTCGCACTTTATGTAAGCATTATCTCTTTTTAAAGTGTTCATCAATGTGTCCCGGTTCAAAGAAACGATTAAAATGTGGTTCTATGTTTTTCTGTTTTGGAAAATACTTGAATAGTGAAAGGAAAGCACATCGTGTGAATGTTGCATCTGCGTGGGAGCGTGTGTGTTTTTCCACTTACTGCTACGGTCATCTTCCCGAGGATGCGCTCCGGCATGGGGCCCTGGATTCTCTTCTTCAGCTTCTCGGCACACGTTCCCATCAGCTCCATGGCAATGAAGACATCCGTCTGTACACACACACATCATTTAAACACATTTACCAAACACATTGACACATTCACCTTTTAGTGGTTCAGTTGAGGAGGGGGCACGGGGGTGAAAGGAGTCAGATTGCATGCGAATATAAAAATAAACCAGAGGCTCCAGTTTGTTTGGGGAGACTGCATTTAGCAGCGGAAGTGCTCCGATTCCTCCCGTCCTACTATTTGTTGTTAAGAATAAACACTGAAATGTATTTTGGGGACACCCACGTTGGTAACTATGGCGCCATAGCACTGGATGATGTAAGGGCAGTCGTGACTCTTCAGCACCACGTCCAGGTCCATCAGGATCCTCTTGTTCTCATCTTTGTTTCCTGTACGGCGCATTTGCTGGTGACACACACAGAAACAAGCCATTAGAAAATGACAAAACAAAGACCCCTCTGGTGAGCTGACTGCCTGGTGGTTAAACAGCTCAGTGGGCTATAATTAAGACGTCTCTTCATTAAGAGGGCTGTTATGTGAGGTTATTAGTGCCACCGTGTTGGGAAATGAGCCACAATCAAAACACAACGGGAAGTCAGAGAGCTAAGCCGGGGCTAGCATCGCGCTCCTGATGAATTGTATTCACGTTTGCTGGTGTTTTAGAGTTCATGTCTTTATGATCCTCGGCCTTTAGGGACCTTTTTGGTTGCATTTTGAAAATAGGCCTTAAGCTAAGACATAAGGCCTATTGCTAAGACATAGTGCACTCATTACAATTTGTTTCCTCATATGGTCGATTTGACATCATTAGTAAAGCATAAATAACTAAAAATAACTATAAATTGCTCATGTAAAGAAGACCATGTATGGCATGTTTAATGACACTGGCTACCTGTCTAAATGAACATGGTGCGAGGGGTGCTGTCATTTATTAGGAAATCCAGCTTTCAATTTGTTTGGCACAGCTTAAATACAATAGTAACACCAGCAGCTTGCAAAGAATGCTAAGGATTCATTGTGTGAATGAAAAAAGTAGTTGAAGCCGTTACCAACTCCCATCAAATTCACCTAATTGAAAAAGCTTCAAAATGGAAATCACATTTACATTAGGTAATATAAAGATGTTTCCTATTTGTTGTGCCTCTCTGTATCTGTATTATTAAATAATTGTTCTCTTGTTAACATTTCCTGTCTAGATTTTGACACATATATATTTGTACATCGCAAATTGACAATCAATCTCAACAGCTGTAGGTAATGGGACGCTATAGCCATAACACTTTTGCCACGGGGGAAATATGAAATCTTAACCTAGGAGATTTAATTTCCCAGAAAAGTGGAGGATTCAAATCACCTCTCTGTACCTTTGTTCTGTTTAAAGAAATAAGAAGCAAGTCCTGATGAATGTGTGGTGTAAACAGAGTGCGGGGTCTTACTTTCACAGCGATGACATGGGCGGTCTTCTTGAATCGTACTTTGAAGACTTGTCCGCAGGTCCCACTGCCGATCTCCCCCTCACTGATCAGGTCTGTCACCTCTGCTGGATACCGCTGTGAAAGGAACAGAGAGGAATAAGTCTTTAGATTATGCTACATTTCGATTTACTGGTTAAAATGTTAATGTTGTCTCTTTGCGATATCCCCGAGCTGAAAACAGATGAGAGGCCAATTCAGATGTTCTGCTTCGTAAGGCAACAGCAAACCCCTCTGGGCAATTTAGTCACAAATGTTTTGATGTGTAATTAAGCTGCTCCCCCATTGGCCCCGCCTAAGAATACCATGACACAGCGGGAAGATAAATATATTTCTTTGCTTAAACTAATTATTTGTGACTGAAATGAGAGTGACGATTGGTCAAACAATTGATGTAGAAACCCCTCTGAGCTAATGAGAATAAGTAATAACAATCAGGAGTAAATCATGTTCTCAGGCATCTTCAAACCCTGACAGGCACTGACTGTGAAACGGGACCTGAAGACTAGAAGAGGGAGAAAAACAAACTTACAGAATTGAGGCCGAGCCATAGCTAATCTCAATGTTATCTTGTTAGACATAAACAAATACCTATCCAAACTGTTTTCATAATAATCTGTGTATTGTAAAGGAGAAGCAAAATGCCCGGGGCTGTTGTTTCCCTTCATAGAGATTCTCTGCTCTCCTCAAAGACACTTCAGTAGTTGCTTGTATGGATGTTTGCTTTTATAGGGCTTTGACCTTGACCTGGTTTGTCTCTGTTTTCAAGAGGTCAATAGACATTACAAACTGGTGACTGTAGTTTGTAGCAAATGTGACTCAAATCTAAGTCAAATAGAAGTAACATTTGTTGGGGACTTTTTTCAGCTGTGGAATAATACACATTTACTGCTTTTGGGAGTTTTTACAGGAACAGGTTGGACTACTACTGTATGCGGGACTGAGTCATAATATATGACAGTCTTCATGTCCACAGTACACAGTAGAAGGAATATGTTGCCCCGTGCAACAGTGTGGCACATTAATGTGTTTTTGGAGAACAAAAAAGGTCAAATAAAATACATCCAAAGTACTAGGACGTCTAAGTTGTTTTCCTGGTGGAAGATTAGCAGACCATAACCATGTATCACCTGCCTGATGATCTCTCACCCTGGTTATTACTTATGTATTTAACAAAGTGTTGGGAATCAACATTTTTCAGACTACAGAAAGTCAACATGTGTCACATCTCACCGTGCCGTCGATCTTCAGGTAGCCCGTCTGTTTCATGATCTCCTGCAATTTCTGGTCTATCTCTGCACTGTGGGGACAAAAGACACCATGTGAGAGGCTGCAGGAGCTACAGTACGGATGTTTCAGTGTAAAACTCCCATAGCAACATAAGAGAGGCTTCTGTGTGTATTCCTGTACACACTTTAAACCCACACACAAGTGTAGATGTACTACGTGTAACACAACCTGCTTTTCTTTAGATGACCTTTTGTCCGGCCCACGTTCCACTTTTAATGTTGTTCATGTGACGATCTTGTTTTTATTATGTGAGATCACTGTAACTCTATTTTGTCTCTTTATGTTTATGTTAACTAAATATTTCTTCATAATTATTTTCAACCAGATAGTTGTGACTCAACAGTAAGACTGGCTGACTTTCGTTAAGTCATTGCTAATAATAATTGTACTAATCACTTTCCCAGTTAAGTATTTTATTCAGAAAACAAAAATAAAATGTAACCACATGTTAACCAACATCTCACAACAGCAGTAAGTCTTTGAATTATATACAGTTTTTTTCCTAAAAAAAAGAGAGGCAATTATCGATGCTGCATAAACAGTCATTTTAGGCTAAAAACTTCAGTTTCTAGGGTAGTAATTAATCATCGAACATCATCATGTTACATACTTCTCTAAGCTCTTCTGCAGGGCGTAGGGAGGGGTGGGCAGCGTGAGCATGTGTCGCGGGCGGCTGGGGTACGGGTGGTGCTGAGGGGAGCTCTCTGAAGACGAGGAGCGGCTGCCTCCATCGTTGGCCAGTGGCAGCTGGAGCCTGGGGGGGGGGGGGGGACATGACAAATTAGAAACAGACAGGAAAATGGAGCGAGCGGTACAGTGTGTTTTGCACCCGAGGCCAGCATGCCAGAAGGTGTAAACGCATGCATTTACTGACTGCCTCATTGCAGTGGGTTTAAAGAGGTCTTGCACAAATAGAGAAGGAATTAATGTGTTATTATTTGCTTTGTTCAACACATTTCAGTGTTTAAATTTACTTTGCATTTCCATTGTGAAAATCTGGGCTTCAGGTTGTTTTTTGCACCATTGAAAGTGATTGAGAAATCCTTTGGAATGATCGTATCCTGTGTATCAAGTGAAAAAGGGTTCCCATGAGACAGCCAGGGAAACTGGCCTTTGCGGGGTCAAAGTGTTCTTTCACTACAGCCCTGCTATCTACACCCTGGGTAGGATTTAACCAGCATATGAACTTGACTTGTTTTCATTTCCCCGAGATTACAGCTTTGTTTTTATTTCGCTGATGTCCCGACCTAATGTTAAAACAAACAGGACGGTTATCTCACAGCAAAAGCAACACCATTCTCAGGCAGGGGAGAGAGCACAGAGTTAGCCCACAGCTTGGGAGGTACAGTTTGGGGATGTGGATGTCGACAGTTCACTTTTAAAGGAAAACTACGGTTTATTAATACTTGGGTTTTGTTCATCAGCTGCAGCCTTGGCTTACGTTATGCACTGTACACACGAAAAGGACTGCTGAGATCTCGGCAAAAATACAAAGAAAAGACCAATAAGGAAAGCAGTACAGGGCTTCAGTTGTAATCAATCCATCACTGTACAAGAAAACTTGGTGTGTGTCAAACAACTTGTCAAAGTTAACCCAGCTAGTCAATCTGGGAAATGTACTCGATATTTAAAACCTACAGTTTGGGTAATCATTTCAAATCGATGTATCTTGGGTGAGCATAACGTTATCATCACTAACAGAACTGACAGCCTAAGTAGTGAAAATACAACCCAGATTGTAATAAACTGCAGTTTGACATAACATCAACTGATTCCACTAAACTATTTCATAAACAAGACGCCATATTGACTGGCTGTTGCAACATGCTGCCAGCCCTGTACTGTAGGTCTAACTCGTTCATTCAAGGACAAGTTAAGACTCAGCTGACCTTGTTTATCAGGTGTACCTGCAAGCACAGACTCATTTCCAAATTGTGATGTAAAAGAATTTCAAGAAAACAATCTAAAGTGATGATAGCACAGACCTGTCATGCAACCAAATTAAAAGACTATGTGTGCGTTCCATAACCCATAGTAGCATACTTTTTAGTGTCCTTGAAACAGTGAAGTCCCAATACATAGTATGTTAAATCCAAGAAGCAAAAAATACCAGGAAGCCATATTATTGCATCATTTTGCAGTATGGAATCTGGCATCTGTCTATTCTGACTCGCAATCCTTTGTGAAGAGGATATCTTAGAAGGACAATGTTATAAAGAAACTGTCGACATACTAAATGTGACAGTACATGCTCTGTCAGGGAAGCTGTGAAATATTTCGAAAGTAAAAAAGAAAAGTATGCCATTTAGAAAACAGCGTGTGACTATATATTTAAGGAGTGGCATTAAGAAGTTTAGTTTTCATTCATTATCATCAATTTCACAACAGCAACTTTTTACACGTTTGGAACCAATATGCAAACCTTAAGAGGACCATGCAGCCATTATTAATATTAATATGATTAACAGTATGTTTGTAGTAGAAGGCTGGCATCTCTTCTGAGAAAACCAGCAGGTGTTTTATATCCACGAGTCACCTGTGGAGGGATGCGCCTGTAAGGGGAGAATCAGTTAGTGAAGGAGAGGAGGGGTTAGTATGGGGAGGAAGAAGGACCCAGGCAGTCTTTGGCACAGATTGCATCTCCATAGTTCGGCTGGCTCCAGATGAACGGATGTGAGGACAGACGGAAAAGGAGACGAACAAACACACAAATACTCGCAGGCAGTGCTGCACCGCCTCCAGCTCACACAGTGCTGCTGCAAAAAGGGAGGAGGCGCAAGGGGGGATGCCAGAGGATGAATAAGAGACTAACAACATCAAACAGAGAGAGAGGAGAACTTCGGCCAAAACTGCATAGCACAGACTAAGCTGGAAGTCAGACAGTCAGTCAGTCAGACTCGGACAGGAAGTCTTCAGGCTCCACACACAGAACACAAAGAGAGAGAGAGAGAGCAGCCAGAGTGTTCACTCCTGCAGACGGACCAGAGGGGATGCTGGATTAGAGACTGTGTCGGACAAAACACAACCCAAAACACTGTGTCGTGCAGAAAAGCTACATGCACCATGATCTCTGCCTCCAGCAAAACAAAGGTTAATTATCTGATGCACGTCCACACAAACACACACTGTGGACATCAACACACACCAACACTGCCCTGCCACTGGCACAGACTCACGGTGAGAGAGGAGTCAGAATGGAAAGACAGAGAGGATGTGATTAGAGGGGAGGTGTAAATAACTGCTCGGCTAAAATATCAGAACTGGTTTGAGGTTTCACAGACAGACTTAGCCCGTTAGCAGAAGGTCTTAATAAAAACGTCAGACACTGTTGTCAATGTATTTCTAACATTCAAGAAATGTAAAACCAGTAAAATGTTTAAACTTATCAGGCAGATGTACTTATGGGCCTTTGTGATCCACGTATTTCATTTATCGTTGTTGTGCTTCTACAAACATTTGAGATGTACATCTAGATTTACTAGAGAGTTAATTGACTATTATAGTCATTTGTTCAGGCATTTCTCTCAGTCTTTTTAGTATTTTTAATAAGACTGAATGTAAGAAACGAGCATTCAAGTGTAAAGAAGACACGAGTAATTGCAGTAAGTGAAGAGCAGTATTGAGAGCCTATTACAGGCAGGAGTTAAAATATGGAGCTAAACTTAACTGGGCAAAATGTAAGGAGCTGGATGGCCTGAGTTCTTCTCTGATAGGTTAAAAAAAATACGAAAGATAAGGGAGGAGGGGATGGGAGGTGAAACGGGGGACAGAGGTGTTGGGGGAGAGAGAGAGAGAGAGGTGCAGTGGCAGAGAGAGCGATGGATTGAATGATACCTGCACGCTGGGAAGGGGCTGGAGCAGGACTGAGCTGGATCACGATGACTAGACAGAGGAAAGAAAATATACACATACATGCAAATTATTGCACTGTATGACTAACACAATCAGACACACACACATACACACACAACCATACACACATCTCTCGAGAAATTATACAAATACACGGAAAAATACATTCCGACTTGTATGAGTTCTGTGTTCTCTTCACACAAACACATCTGAGTTTTTTTCCCCCCGAAAATGTTTTTATGTGGTTTGGTAATATAATGGCTGTTATCCGATTAACTAAATCAGATGGTATTGAGGCAATACTCCTTTTTAGCATAGGATAATCATTCTATGGCTTGGATTAAAAAGGCAACACCACTTCTTTTTGAGAAGTTTCAAAAATTGAAAGCTAAAGCAACCTCTAAAAAACACATTTCAAACAAAAGGCACAAAAGCAGATTTGTGGTCAATGTCTCTTCAACCTCATGAATAGACAAGTGATCTGTAGGAAAGAATGATCTTTAAACAGTCAGTGAGCGAACAGGGTTTCTGATATCGGTGACAAGCAGTTTTTAAAGTCCAATATGTTGCCACAGAGTTAGTTTTGGTGTAACATGTCAGTGCAGGCATGATGTTGCAGCACTGAACGAGCCAGGCTGTCTAAAGAGATTTTCATTTTTTTTTTTTTTAAAGCTCTCTCTAACCCACAGTGAGCCATCTTTCTATTATTACGGATCATGATTGTGGAACAGCCTCCCAGAAGACCTGACTCTCATACTTTTGAGAGCAAAGTCAAGAACCACCTTTTTAAATTTGGTTTTTAACAGAATTTTATTTTATTATTATTCAATTTAAATGGTATTCTTTTTTAATATTTGATTCCTGTTTGATTCAGTCCAGCATTGGTATTAAGTGTTCTTTTTTAATCACAAAGCTGCTACTCTGGATATACCTGAGAAGGGGGAGATAGTATTGTTACTATTTTTTGTAAATTGGCTATGTTTTTGGTTTGTGAAGCACTTAGAGTTACATTTGTGTATGAAAAATGCTAAATAAATAAAGTTTGATTTGATTTGATGATTTTCTTCTCAGGGCCCAACATTACAGTTTCACCATATCTTACAAAACCCATATGTACTGACAACTGTAAAGGGTTTTATGACAATGAGTCTGTAGCAGACTAAAATTCAACCACCATATGTAAAAAGTAGTTTATAAAGCTTAATGATATAACCAACGCCTGGTAACGTCTGTAGAACGTTAGCTAACAGAACTGATAGCTCCCACACATTAGCGTCTGTTTCGTCAAGGGTCAAAACTGCCACTGAAAACTGACTTTGCCGCAGAAGACACAAGCACACACGCTGCTTAATAATAACGTGAAACTTCAGATACACTACAGATAAATGGCATCTCCATTATATTTCACAACGAGGTTGAACACTACATCAGATTTGACGATGGGCCCTGCCACCGACTATCACTCATATTGCTAGCTTGTTAGCCTAGCTTGTTTGACAGGACAGTCAGAGCAGATTTCGGGACGTGACTGCCAGCGAGACATTTGATGACACCGCTTTATTTTTGATTTTATTTTGCCTCACTCACTATAGAAATTGTCCTACTTGTTAAGTAAGTGATTCGATGGTAAAATCAAACAACTGAGCTGAGTCGGTGTTTGTTTATGTAGCTAGCCTGTTAGCATGTAGCAGCATAACACCTCCTCCTCCCTCCGCCTCTCCGATCTTTCCCCCTGCTATTCTGCCCGTTACCGACACCCCGGTGCTCCCCGGTGGACACTCACTCGGCCTCGGACGTGATCTCTGCGGACTCATCTCGATGTTAAGGTCGATTCTCCTGCGAGCTTCTTCATTTTCTTGCTTTAGTTTCTCCTCGATTCGCGACAACCTCTTTTCCAGCGACGACATCTTGAAAAATTGAGCACCATGTAGTTCCCAGCAGCGCTCTCGACTCCCTCTCCGGCAGGCAGGCAGACTGGACGCACGCACACACACAATAAATTCTGATAAAATGAAGAGTAATTTACCAATTTATTTCGTACGGATATGATTATTGAGGAAGAATATCATGTACTTACTTATTCAACTACATCACATGGTACTACTCAAACATAAGGTTGAGTTTGCTTAGTTACCAAGGAACTGTAAACTATTAAACATACAATTATTTTCTCAATGTCAACCTTATTGTTGAGCTTTATAAAAGTAAATTCTTGACCTTAGGCTGCAGGTGTCAGACATGCATAAAAATCGTAACCTGGAACATGAATTGAAATGTTATGAACTAAAATATTTTGCCATTACAACCCAATCTCCAACCGAAAACATGTGATAAAGGCCGTCCGGTAGCCGAGAGTAGGCTATGTCTGCTGTCACATAAGGGAATAATCATTTAGTAAAATATTTCTCTGATGTATGTGTTTTGCTATTAAATAGTCAAGAGTGATCTCTTAAATGTGATTACTAAAGCAAGCTTGTCCAATTGTGAGGTCAACTTTTGTGTTTGAATTAGGGCTATATTGTTGAAATCAGTATACTATTACATTTGTATAACGGTCATGTTTTATATGATTAAAGAGATTGGTGGAATATTGATCAGAAAACTAATCATCATAATAACTAATAAGCACACACTTCTATTCTCCAATGTAAGGATTTGCTGATGGAGCCATTTTATTTAGTTTTAAATCAATTACTTTTGGACCTTAGATTTTCACTAGACAAAACAAGCAATTCAAAGAGACACTAACATTGGATCTGGTTTATATGTTCTCAAGTTTTGATAAACTATGTTACATTTTTGAAGACTCTACAGTTATCATTTAATCTAACAAATAATCAAAAGATGAATTTATGGTCAAAGTTATTAAAATTACAATTGACATTTTGGAAAAAGGATGACAGGATATGCACATATTACGACTCAATACCCCTGAATAATATTGATTTAGCAAAAAACACAAAACAATGTAGAACATCACCTCAGTTTAAAATGCTGCTGCTAAATGGATGTTTAGTCCCAAATAAAAACTACTGATACGGCTATGTTTTAGTTTTTTCTCTTCTGTTTTACTTGCCTCTCAAGTGTCCTTAGATACTGTACACTAAAAACAACACACAGACAGATTATTCACTCCAACCTTTCTTTATAAAATAAGTCATCTCATACTCTCACATGGTTTTTGTTTTGACACAACACAAGATAAGTAAAATCCACACATCATACATACAGCTTCACAACAAACCTTGCCTCTACTCAGAAATGTTTATACCACTGGCTCATATTTTCAAGATATATCATTGTGTTTGAAATGATATTGTTTCTTTAGAAATGTTTTGCCAAGATACCTTGTTCACTGGGATGTGATGTGCAATATTTTTTTTTGATTGCGTCATCACCACCCAGATTTTCCAGATATTAACCAAGATATCCATTGGTTTTATCTGAAACAAAGATAACTTCATCTGCAATAACCACCACGGGTAGCTTTTAAATGTATTGTTGGAATCAGTTCTCCAAAACAGACACTAAAACAAATGCTAGAGCCAGAGTTTGTTGAGTTTAAAGTCACATATAAATGTCTTGAGGGGAAATTACTTACTTCATGTACACAAAACTCTGGTAGCATGTAGATAACTGGAGCAATGCGTCTTAAACTCAGATGAACAAACACAATAATGTTACTTGTGCATCAAGTTTTAGTGTTCAGTTTTTTTTTGTAATAAAAAAAAGGTGAAATACAGTGACCTGTTTGCTACATAGCATTTAATGCTGATGGTTGCGATATGATATACAATTTCCAATTAAAAATGTGGTTGGTACTGAATAATGGATGAGGAGTCAACGGTCATAAAATGTGATTACTTAAAAATTGCAATTGTAACATTTGTGACATTCATTAAAATCCAAGCAGCACAATTTTTAAAAGTGGTTGGTAGAATTCCAAGGAATTAAGAAGTGATTCTTTACCCCGTAGTTATATTTCATAGTTCGCCCAGCATTGGTCAGTATGACTGAGGGTCATCATCACACCACTGCTGGGGAAGCTTCAAATATGAATTCCTTCTGAACGAGACGTCACAGTTCCCACTCTCACAAGCAGGTCCTCTCGGTTTCTCACTCTTCTTCCTGCTGCTGTATACAACGGGCCACAAAATAAAAACATGATGCTTTTCTGTGGATCAAATACAAATGTAAGGCATTGGTATGAGAGACCATTAAAAAGTCAGCAGCTCCTCCTCACAGCTGCACGGGTGAATACAGCGACACATAAGAGGATGGGAGGAGGTAATTTAAAAGGCTAATGTTTGTAAAGATACACAAGTCACTGGTGCGATGTACGAGGATTGGGGCCTTTGTTTGTACAACCCAGCCAGCTGTCCGTCCTGGCTTTTATTTTCTCAGCTTTCTATCTTTTTAACTTGTAGACACACAAAACACAGACCGACTGGCTCTGGTCTCTCCGCATTCATTCACAGTGTAATTAACGGCAGACAAACAGTCAGCGGACAGTCAGTTGGGACCGGTGGTCCGCTCAGATAAAACCGTTGTGAGGCCTTTAAAGTCAAACATTCCTCTTCTTCTTCAAGGCCCACTAGCAGAGGTCGGAGACGTAGTCAAAGTCCCGGAAGCTCTCCTGGTCTTTGCGGGAGAGCACACGAGGTTCGCGTGGTGGCGTGAGTGCCGGAGGTTCGGTGGTGAACTCCTCGTCGAAGTTGCTGACGTCTTCCTTCCCGACAATGGAGGGGACGAAGGGGGGGGGAGCCTTCCTCTGCAGCAACATCTCCCAGTCCACATTCTGGAGGCGGACAGAGAAAAAAGAAAAAAGACAATAAATAATTAGAAAAGGTGAATATAAAAAAAAAAATAAGAAAGAAAATATTAAAAAGAAAATGCGCACTTACTCTGAAAAATGGCTGCTTCTTAATTTCCTCTGCATCCTTTTCACCAGAGCCCAGTCTTCTCTCCGGGTTCCTCCTCAACAGCTGATCACAAAAACACATACAAGAATCACAAATGGCTCATGACAAGAAAGAGTATCTTTCAGTATTTATGTGCGTGTGTTTGTGTGTATTCTTACCCTTCTCATAATGCCGATAGCCTCGGTGGACAGAAAGCGTGGATAGCGGACTTCGTCATTCACTATGCTGTCAAACACCTCCTCTTCATCATCCCCTGGGAATGGAGACTATAGAAACACACACAGATGACAATAGGTAAATCAAATCCATTCTACAGATTTCACAAGCGCCTGAAGCTGCTGAATGTATGTGCGCCGCTGCTACGGGGCGCCAGCCAGGTACGAACAAATAATATTATTAAATAATTGTAATACATTAAATTAATAATCCGTGGCCACACAGCCTCTGTGAGCGAGCGAGACAGAGAGAGCGAGAGAGAGCACACCTTTAACTATTTAATATCATTAAAAAAAGAAAAAAAAAGAAATCATTCCAATGTGTACTAAAGGACAGTAAAAAAATAAAACAGTTTAAAAGGGGAGTGATTAGTAAAATATGCATAAAGAAAAATAAAGAATACTAACTAGGTAACATAAGATAAGAATAAACTAGTTTAAATGATTTGTTATTGGTTGTGATCATATTCTAAAGATGTTTGGATTATTGAAAAGTATACAGCTCTCTTTCATCTGAGTGTTGAGAGCTGTATCCATAAATTCACTTTGTGCTCAAAGTGCAACAGATTGATGCATTTAACTTCAACATTTAAATAAGAATCAAAATTAAAGATCCTCCCGGGGGTGCACGCCCCCGGACCCCCCTAGAGGATGTGAGGTCCACCCCCAAATAAAGTAGTTTAAAAATAATTAAATTGCATACATTTTATTTTGATTGTTTGTTATGTGGATGTGTAGTATTTGTGTTACTGTATGTTCAATAAAGGTGATTCAGCAAAATACACCTGTAGAGCCTCAGAAGCAATATAAATAGCACATCTAAGACTGAAGTTATTCAGCGCACTTGCAATATGATTAGTTATTTTTAATTAAAGATTTTAGGGACACCTTTTTATATACATTTACCAATATGAAATCTATATACTCTTGGCTATGATATTGGATGGATAGTAAACTAACAAATATGTAATGTGTGTTCACGTAAAGCTTATTTCAGCTATCCTCCCTCCCATACACCGTGTAAAGCAGGGGTGGGGAACCTTTTTCCTCTCAAGGGCCATTTCAATTTTCCAACATCCTCCGAGGGCCGTACAAATTATTGACCTCTGCTTAAAAATACTAAAATCACAGCCCATTCATTTGGCCTTTCTTTCATGCTGTGCAAAGAAAAAGCAACCTCTTAATCCAAAAATCTTACCATGACTCGCGCATGCATGCACGTGCACGGTTGTGGCATGAACACCAAAACAGAAAGATATGGACACAAGATGTGTGCAAATGTATTTAGTTTCCTATCCATGTGGACATGATTTAAGTGTGTGGGGGGGGGGGACCCTAACCTCCTCTAGG